TAACAAATGGTTGAAAGGTATGTAAATTTACAAGTCTTTTTGAGAAAACTACATCTGAAAAATCTCCCACATAGGTGATAAAGCTTTTTCATTTTGGAAAAGCTCCTAATTTGGATGTTCTAAGAGATACAGTAGTTTATAATACAAAGTAAAACAAAAAAAAAAGCAATATTTGGTGTGGATTAAGAATAAAAAGAAATTGAAGGGAACCAATTTGTATCATTTTTTATGAGAAAAGTATGTGGATTAAGCGACGTATATATAATGAAAATGTGAAAAAATAATATAAAAATATTCGGAAGCTTTTCTCTAATATCAGAGCCAGGTTTCGATCCTGGGACCTGTGGGTTATGGGCCCACCACGCTTCCGCTGCGCCACTCTGATTTATGTTTCAATTCTATAAAACAAGTATATAATCTGTATTTTGGCAACTCCATCGTTGATACTTTAATTTTGTTCTATTTTATATGTTCTTTTGTTTGATAATGTGTTTGTGGGATGTACCCCGATATAAAACCATAATAAAATTAAACAAGTACAAAGCAATCAAAATCAAAAACTTAGGCAAAAAAAAAATATCTATAGCAGTTGAAATCTAAAAAGCCCTAGTCAACAAAGAAGAAAGAAAAATCATATAAGTTGAGGATGAATGATTAATGGTTAAGAGATAGCAATGTAGTTTCCAATTTTTTTTTTATTTACAAAATTGTACTTTTATTTATTCTTGTTACAACTTTACACTGTCATTTATCTTATTACAACATTGTGCTTCTAGATTATTTGTTATTACGGCATTGTACTTTGTAAAATTTAGATGGTAGCGGATTATCCATTGCTAGATTTTGATACATTTATTTAAAGTGGAATGCTCTAACAAGAAATAATTATGGAAGTATAATGTGGCAATAAGAAAAAATGAAAGTATAATGTATAATATTTTTTTTTTGAGGTGTACATTGCTATTTCTTGCATTTGGCCCAAAGATTCGAGCATACCCCTTTACAACAAGTCTAAGTCAAGCTTGTTGCTTGTTGATGGCATAATAGCTAAAGTTTTTATGCATAGAAACAAGAGTTAAATCCAAGAAAGATCAATATACTTTCATTGATTTGTTTATTACATCATTCTACTTTTAAATTTTCCTATTACGCCATTGTACCTTTTCAAAGTGTAATGTTCTAACAAGAGAGAATTGATGGTACAATGATATAACTCGACAAAACGTGTTTGTTTCCACCTTTTTATTTGTTAGAAATATATGATATATATCTAGTTTGCTAGGTATGACAATTGACAAGACATGACAAAATAACTTCTTGTGTTTGTGTTTGTGTTTATGTTTAGTGTGCACTATTATAGTGTAAAATTCCATTTTGAAAAAAGAAAAAGAAAAAAAAAAGAAGCAACTGCTCTCTTATTCTGGTTCAACTTTGAGAACGATCTTCATGAGTTCATAAACAAAGTAACTTATAGCAGCCGATGGGAGCACCTGAGAAAAAAATAAATTAATGTCATAAATGGGTAACGATTTTTTTTTTCTTATTGTATTCGGGTAATCCATGACTTAACAATATATTTTCATTCAAGTTTTTATTAAAGCATGCTACTTTCATTTGTTCCAGACAACATCATTTTGCTTTAAAAAATTACCAAATTATAGCAACTTTCACTGAGGTAGATTTTTCAAAGTAGATGTCTTAATAAGAAAAAACTAAAAGTACAATGCTATAATTAATAGAAAGAAATGTAAACATTTACATGAAGAAAATGTGACATAATGAATCCCATCATGCTAAACTAAATTTTGCTTCATATCCTCTTAAAAAAAAGTATATATGATAAAAACAATGAATTAGATAAAGAATCATGTACATTTTCTAACAATTATACTAATATGCCTAAGGGAAAACTCCATAAAAGTCCTTATATTTTGACCTTATAATCGATTTAGTCCTTATATTTTTTTTATTCAATTAAGTCCCAATAACCACTGTATTCATTTTGACCTTTTATCCGGTCATCAGATCATCTCACTTTCAAAATTTACACTTTTGGCCCGGCATTCAAAATTTTGTTACGAATTCATCCTAAATTTACCTTTTTACATTTTTTTCGAAAAATTTTGTTTCGAATATGTTTTTTTTGCTTAATAAAAATCATATTTACAAAAAAAAAACATATTTTCACATAAACAACCTTCTTTTTTCTTTATAATTAAAAAAAAACATTTAAGCACTTAATTAATCTCACCAGTTATATACGACTGTTTCTTTTTTACTTGATCTAGACATAATGACTTAATGGGTTAAGCCAAAAAACATGGATTAATAGATTAAAACACTAACCCTTTACGTATTTGCTCTTCTTTTTTTTTTCTTTAACTCCTCTCACTTTAAAACCGATGAATATTGTGAAATTTGCTTTTTGGAATGTAAGGGTAAGTTTGGTCATTTAGTCACATAAACTTCCCGTTTTTAAGTGAAAAAGAAAGAAACAAATACCTGCAATAAACTTGGAGTCAATCCTGCATATAAGGCAGGAACACCACCTTGTTCAACAATCTTCCCAAAAGTAGCCAAAGCAGTCATTTTTGTAGCCCTAACTTGCAACTGAAGTTGTCTTCTCACAACTTCAAATGGATAAGTAGCAGCTTCAGCACAACATCCCGCAACCGCACCGTATATCAGTGTTCTCATTGTACCCAATTCCATCTGCTCCAAAGCATTTAATGCTTCCCCTCCTTCTTTCATGTTTTCAAGTCTTTTTCTTCCTTTTGGTGAATGTAAATATGTTGATTTTAATATGTCATAAATTCCATAAAACACAGCTCCTGAAGGTGCCATGCTTATGATGGAAGGAAGTAAGCCTTTGTATAAAGAGAAGAATCCTTCCGTTTGGATCATGTGCTGAAAAGCACCGATTACACCTCCCATTGCTTCTCCTCCCGGTGCCACCATTTTTGTTCTGATCTGTGATGGTGAGGGTATTTTCGTCATTTAATAAAAAAAATTAAAGAATGAAGTCCATGGAATTTATAAGAATATTTGGCAACCAAACATGCCATGGAAATGGAATCTCGAATGTTTTACAAATTTTCCCTTATTTACTTTTGGGTTAATCTAAAAAAAAACCCTTGTATTTTGTATTTTTTCTGGATTAAACCTCAAATTTATTTTTTGCCTGAAAAAGACCTTGTATTTTTTCATATTTTTCCGAAAAAGCCCTCAACTTTGTATTTTTATTTTTATTTTTCCGAAAAAAACCCTCAACCTTCTAAATGCTTCCAAAAAAAACCCTCAATCTTTTTTGTTTTTCTTGAAAAAACCCTCACATTTTACAATTTTTTTTGGAAAAAAATGACTAAAAGGGCCAGATCGGAAAAAATGAAAAACTACAAGGTCCTTTTCAGGCAAAAAAATATTGAGGTTTAACCCGGAAAAAACACAAAATATAAGGTCTTTTTTTAGATTAACACTTTACTATTTCCTTTCATTTCGCAAGTGCGCCATAACTTTCTCAAAGTTTTTTTAAGTATCACTTATCCAAACAACACTTAATGATGAGAACAAGGAGGGCATTCATGTCTTTTGCACAGACAAGCGAGTATCTATATTCTATCCCACCTTTTTGGGTTCAATTTCTGTAATGTAGTGTTGTGCATAACAAACGGGGTCTAAATTCTAAAAGCTATATACCAAAAGGGTAAAAAGGTAAATTCAAACATACTGTGTCCATGGGTATGCAGAGTATAGTAGCGGTAATTCCTGCAGCAGCACCAGCAAGAAACCTTTCAAAATTAGTTGTTTCCTGATTCCCAGTTAGCTTTAACAGTTCACTTCTGTATTTATCATAAGCATAAAAGTTGATTGCCTTAAATGGAGCTGTTCTAAGAATATTCACAAAATTTCCTTTCCAAAACCCTTTAATCCCTTGAGTGGCTGCAATTGATTTGATGAGATCAATAAGATGTTTTTGTTCCCCACGAACCATATATTCCAGCTTCAATCTCTCCAGTGGAGCCACAAAAGTTCTAAATACAATTTGTAAAAAAACTGAAACATTGTTAAATACCAAACATTGTTGCATAAATAAGCATTTAACAGCTGATTAGATTTACACTGTTGGAGTTGCATATTTCATACATGAACCACATTGTTGCATAAACTAGGAAAAAGGTGAAAAGAGTAAATAGCATTTAACCTACCCTTTGTGATATGTGCAATTATTCATGATAATGTAATTTGTTGACATAAAGCATATAGCAATTATTCAGAAAAATGTTCTACCATGTTTGAAAGGTTAACCTCACTTAATTAAATAGTGAACATGTTTTCTCCATTAACTAAATTTATCGACTATGAAAATATCCAAATCAAGTTCACAGTTGAAAACAATTTTGAAAACCGTTTATTGAGTTGCTTGAGAAAAAAGAAAAAGATAAAATATTTGGCTAACTTTCAAGAAAACGAATAATAATCTTGATGAATACTTTTTTTTTTTTTGTCTACCTATGGATTTCACTGAACCTCTATTATATATAGGGTATAAACGCTTTCTTATTGTTAAATCCACAATATGAGCATCAACAAGGTTTTTGAAAGTGGTTGTCCAGTTACGAGCTCTAGCTCTAACAATGAGCTTTTTCATTGTTTTCTACGTATTTTTATTCCTTTTGGTTTATTAAATACACCAACTACAACCAATACCATGTTAACTGGACCCACGAATAAGCTTCGTGAAAAAAGCTTTACTATAACATTAATGGACCTATGTTAATGTTTTTAGGTTGTTGAGGTGGCATGCAAAAAACTATGGTATTGTCGATGCTCTAAGAGGTCGTTTGGTTTGTCTGATTCTATCGTATTTAGCCCACAATGGAATTCAACTCCATTCTAATCTTGCCTTTGGTTGCAACTCGCAAATAAGTAAGGAATTGAATTCCATTGGAATCATATTCTTGTCAAGTGTTCCAAATTGGAATTCAGATGCATGTTTTCTTTATTCTAATCCCTTGATCACTCAAACAATTTGATTTTTAGCCTACCTGAATTGATTATTGGGGTTATCAAGTTAATGCTTTGTGTGTTAATATATATAGAGGGTCTCTCAAGCTTATTCTTGGAGGTTCTAATGTTGTATTAATATATGGAAAAAGACTTGGTTTTCAAACACAAATTGAGCAAGATGCCTCATTACTCTAGTGCAAACAGTGTTGCCAGTGCTATTTGACACATTGCCATAACTTTCTTCTATCAAACAACAGGTTACAAGTTTGAAGCCTGTTAACAAGATAAAGTGAAATTGATGCCAATCGACACCAATTTAGAGTGAAGAACAGACCTTGAAACCATGGCAGCGACAGCTCCAGCCCAAAGATGTTTCGTAGTATTCAATGCACCCCCTTGTTTTTGTACCTTAACCTTAACTTCCTCTTCCTCCAAACCTTTCTGCTCATCTTCAACCTCCCCTCCCAAAACAAGACTAGATTCCCCGGAAAACCCTTCGCCGCTACCCCCATCTTTTACCGACAAGGTCACGGACAAAAACCCAACTCGGCCATGTCGCCGGCGACTTCTCCGCCGACTCAATGAAGAAGAAATCGGTGCAACAGAACTAGTGTTCTGTAGCGAAATAAAGGACGCTATAGACGAAGGAACATTACCTGTTTCGAGAAACAATCCACCGTTTACAAAATTGGTAGACGCAGGTAATATTTCCGGTTGCGATCCGGATGATGCGACTAAATCTCTCATCCAAAGCTCTAACCCTTTCATTGTAAAAACCCAAAAAGGGAATGCAGTATTACCCGATTATCAATACAAAACAGAGACCAAAATTGTTGAATTTTGAAGGTTGTAGTAGTTTAAGGGTGCCGAAATTGACGAGGAACTTGGATCGGAGTTAAAGAAGGAGATTTGGAAGAGGGGTGGAATTGAATATGGAGAGGAACACATAAAAGGTTTATTGGGTTGGATTCGAGGGAAAAAGGGGAGGAGCACATTGTTGTCGTGCTTTGTTAACACCGCCGTAACACCAAGACTTAGAAATTCTCATCAGGGGGTGGGTGTGAGTCTGTGTTTTGTTGTTGGTATATGTAGTTATCATGAAAAGTGCTTCTAGCCGTTCTTAGAATTGTTGCTTCTCCCCAAATCAACCTAAGTGACACGACAAAGCATCGAACCACGTTGGTTTATTCTGTCATATACTAAAAGTTGGTAAATAAAATCGTTACGAGTATACAGTATACGCCAAAACACGCTGTTATTGTCGACGTGATCAACCGAAGAACGGGGAACACTGCCCCCTTCTCGTTATATCTTGTTTAAGGTGTAAAACCCGTGTACCACACGGTTGATTAAAAAAATTTATATACGAAGATACTCGGTATGAGACTCATGTATTACATTATTTTATTTAAAAGAAAAAACTAAATATAAAATTGTATACATTTTCAGACGTTCGAATTTATAAGAAAAGTGAAAAAAATATTGAATTATAAAAGTTAAAGTGTTTTTTTTTCTCTAAATTTAAACAAATAATTTAGATAAATAAATAGAAGAAATTAATGAAGTTTTAATGTAATAATTTTGAAATTACAAGGAAAGTTCATTGAGGAAATTAATATGCATTTATTATTGCATTTAAATACTATGTGAAATTTAATACAATAGAAAAAAAAATCATAAATTGACATGTGAAATAAAAATTAATTCAAGATAACCACAAAATGATATTTGACAAATTGAATGAGAGTGTGACAAATGACAAAAAAAACATTCATTTATTATAGTAGATAAACATTAAATATTTTTTTAAAGAAAACATTAAATATCAAAGTGTGAATATTAAATATTTTTGAAAATAAAATTTCAAAATATATACAAACAAAATGATGAATAAATAAATAATTGAATTTATACTAATAAAACAAACTACAGAAAAATAATTATATTTTGACCATATAACCTTTTTTTTAGTTTGTCAATAAAAAGTAACAAATTTTGATTATTTTTTCTATATAGACCATTTTGCCTAAAATGACAATGAACTGTGAAAGAAACATGCCAATTTTGAATTATATAACATTGAAGAAAACATATTAAAATTTGAAAATATAAGGAAACAAATTAATGACACATTAATTACTTTCTATAACCTAAATATTAGATAGTTAATTAAGAAAATAAAAAATTACCACAAAATGACAAGTGGAAATTAATTTCTAAGAATTAACCGCAAAATTACATTTGTCAAAATGCATGAAAATATGATATGTGGCAAAAAGAATTTCATTTATTAGTATGGATTGTTGCAACCCGTTGCCATTACCACCGGATGAAACACACAAATTTTGAACGTTGGGCCCTTGACCGTTGACAACGGTCATGTGATTAAATAAAAAAAATATTTTTTCTAATTATAAATACATTTCATTCTCATACATTTTATATACATTTTCTTTCTTTCTTCCTATATTTTATAAAATCTACTTCTACTTCAACAACAAAAAATGGAGCAAAATCCAAACACCCCTCCACCAAACCAAAACCCAAACACACAACCACACACAATATCTCCTATGGGGTTTGTTGGTTACAAGAACTACTTTAGCCTTCTATTGTGTCAAGCTTCACCAAAAATCCCATACCAATGAGCCTCTTTCAATCCCGCATCACCACCATTCTAATTTTCTAATTCACCTTATCTTTAACAAAATATTTTCGGCCAAAATTCAAGTTTACAACAAAATCTCTTTCCCATGCAACCTCAAACATAACCACAACCAAAACCATAACCACAACCACAACCTCAAATAAAACCTCAAACACTACCACCACCTCTAACACAACCATCAGTTGAAACACGAGCGGGAGGTAGTAAGAAAGGGAGATGGAAAGGGAAAGCTATAACGGTTGACACGGAAAATGAGGAAGCTCCACATTGGTGGACACCAGATGAAGAAAATGCTTTGGCGCAAGTGTGGTGTCACAACTAGCAAAATTAGGTTAAGATGTGAATTCCTGTACAATATAACTTCCTCGTGTAACCTTACAACATCTCATCTAGCGAAATTCAAAACTTCAATGCCATTAAGATTCTACTCTCATACGTTGTGATTCAAGTCGAAACAACCACGTATAAGCCCAAAACTTGATCCAATAAGCCAAATCCAATCATTTTTGGGCCTTAGCCCAAGAATTTTCGATCCAAATCCCTTATTGGACCAAGACATCCTTATTGGGCCTTATTAGACCGATAACTACTCCTTTTGGTCTTTTTGGGCCGAAAACCCCTCTTTGGTCCCTAATGGGCCGAAAACTTTTATTAAACATTATTTTGGGCCGAAAACTCCTAGAATGGGCCTTTTGGGCCGAAAACACATATATGAGTCTTAGTTGGGCCAAGAATTAATATTTTTGGGCCCTTTGAACCAAAAACCATTTATTAAGCTTTAATGGGCCGAGAACCCTTATTGGGCCAAACCAAAACTCAGAACTACTTTTCTTGGGCCACTCTTTGTTGGGTTTTGAGCATTCTAACACTCCTAAGTGTACATGCAACCCTAAATACCTTGGATCTAT